TGTTCATTTTTTTATGCGATGACCTAAACATTTGACAAATAAATATGCGCTAGATATTTTAGCGAATATTACTCTCTGTATTACGACCTTTGTATTACAATTCTTGCATAATTTTATCTGCGGACGGACGACTCGAAATAAATGGGACCACCTGGTGTGGAACCACCTGGTGTTTCAGCTGGCAAAGTATGGGCATTTTAGGGTCCAATAGCCCTAGTAGTCAAATCACAACTCCAGATGGTGCTTTGGAGTCTAGTTCTTATAGGTCTAGGGGTGGATCTTGAATTTGATGTTTATGGATTAAGTATTTTAATCCTTTTAAGTTATTGCTGGATTTCAAATTAATATTTTATACATATTTAATAATTTTCTAAAATAAAATATAAAATTTGAACAAAATTATCAAATTCGGTCGAACTCGTAACTTTACTGTCACGACCCAATTCCCAAACCTGGTCGTGATGGCGTCTTTCATGAAGACAAGGCCGATCATTCAACCCAATTCATCCTTTTAAGACAATTAATTAACACCATTATAGTATAAACATGGTTTAATAATATCCAATAGCGGAAAGTATAGATAAAATACGGAAATCCAACCCAACTCAGCTTTAACCGGGGTGTCACAAGTCATGAGCTACTACAGAGTTTACTAAAATTCTACAAAGTATGGAATTAGGAACAAAGTCTGAAGATATCATAAATAACAGAAGATAAGGGAGAAAACGGGTCTGCGAACGCCATGCAGCTACCTCGATAACTCCGATGAAAACTGAACAACAGAAAACTCGCTCTATGCCTCAGGAATACCTGTACCTGCACACATGGTGCAGGGAGTAATGTGAGTACTCCAGCCCAGTGAGTAATAAATATAAGTAATGACTGAAGGTAAGAAAACACGTTAAGACACACAACATTCTATACAGAAGTAGTGAAATCATTTAAAATAACAATTCAGTGAAATATCATGTGAAATTTCTTTTAAACCAGTAAATCATGTAATTTGGCAGTAAAATGACAAGTAGAAATCTGCCTCTCGGGCTCAATATCAAAACAACAAGTAGAAATCTGCCCCTCAGGCTCAATATCAAAATAACAAGTAGAAATCTGCCCCTCGGGCTCAGTATCAAAATAATAATAAGAAATCTGCCACTCGGGCTCAGTATCAAAATAATAAGTAGAAATCTGCCACTCGGGCTCAGTATCTCAGAACAGTGTAAGCCCCTCAGGCTCAGAATAGTATGAAGCAACCAGTCAATGAAATAAGAGTACATAATTATTATGGCAGATAATGCAGATAAGGAATAAATGCATGAGTGCAATGTAATGCATATAACGGTACCATCTGGTACCCACTACGACGTGCAGCCCGAGCCATTCATATTTATTTATCGTCGACGGTGCTAACTGGGGGTGTGTACAGACTCTGGAGGGGCTCCTACAGCCCAAGCGCAATAGCAAGCCATCTCGTGGCATCAAATTTAGGCCCTCAATCTCATATCAATATCAGTATAATCACCCAGGCTCTCGGCCTCAATATCAATGTAATCAACCAGGCTCTCGGCCTCAATATCAATGTAATCAACCATGCTCTCGACCTCAATATCAATGTAACACTGTTGCGGCGCGCAGCCCGATCCATGCTCAGTCCAGAAATCATCATAAGCCCCTTGGGCATTCGTAAAACAATAGTTCTCAGCCCGAAATATCATTTAGAAATATCATTTAAGTTTTCAAATCTTAGAAAGATGGCTGAGTTTGCAAAACAGTATTTAAAACCTTGGACTGAGATCAAATGATATGCAAAATATGCGAAAACAGTGATATCAATCCCTGAAGGATTCAAATAATTGGCAAGAAGCCCAAATGTAACAATCAAATCTAAGTAAGGATGATTCTCAATTTAGTTCAAATAGAAAACACGATAAAAACATCTCTTGGGACGGACCAAGTCACAATCCCCAATGGTGCTCTACCCCATGCCCGTTATCCGGCGTGCAAGTCACCTTAATATAGCGTTACAATGTGAAATTCTGGGGTTTCAAACCCTCAGAACATCATTTACATCAATTACTCACCTCAAGACGGCCAAAAGTCTAGCTCGATATGCGCTTGCCTCTCGAATTGGCCTCTTCATGCGTCGAATCTATCCAAAATCAGAACGAATATGTCACATTATGCTGTAGGAACAATACCCAATCGAAAATAACTGAAAAACATAAAAATCCCGAAATTTGGCAAAACCCGAGCCCCGGGCCCACTTCTCGAAATTCAGAAAAATTAACATCAACGGATTCCTTATCTCGCCACGAGTCTATACATATAAAATTTACCAAAATCGGACATCAACTCGACCCTCAAATCTTCAGATCTTATTTTCAAATCCCTAGGCCTAAATCCCAATTTACTCCTCAAAAACATGTAATCTAGTCGGATTATTCGATGATAATTCAATATTATGGAGTAGAAATGATCACAAGTGACTTACCTCAAGATTTCCAATGATTTCTTGCTCAAACATTGCCCCAAGTCGTGTTCTTTCACAAGAAAAACGTGAAAATGAGCTAAAAAAATAGAACAGCACTAATAAAACCCATTCTGGTCGCTAAAAGACCTTTCCGGTCGCTAAAGGTGCCAAATCTGATCGCTAAAGGTGCACACCAGAACCTTCTGCATCAGCAATATTTATTTTCACTAAAAAGGCTCTAACTCCACCATACGAACTCTGAATTCGATGATTCTTATTTCTATGAGTCACAAATAATAATACGAACATAGTCCTTCAATCGAAACTCAATTCGGAGCTCGTTTGCTCAGTGCGATATCCATTTCGCTCGTTAAACAATTAACAGATGTTTCGCGTCAAAAACCCAATCGCGACTTAATGAAATTAGACCAAACTTTCCAGATCAGTCCTATAATTCATTATCAAAATTACGGAAGTCTCGAAATCAAATTTTAATCTCTAGAACTAAAATGGACCTTTGGATCATTACGTGTTTATGCTCAAAACAACAAAAATCTTCCAAAAACTCTTCCAAAACTTATCCGAGCCTCATGTGACCCCGACCAAACATGCCAACACACTCCATAACATCATTCAAACTTTTTCCAATCAACATAACACCTCAAACAACATCAAAACCATCAATTCACATCGAATTCAAGCCTAAGTTTTCCAAAAACTTCCGAAACACGCATTTGATCAAAAACCCAACCAAATCACCTCCGAATGACATGAAATTTTGCACACACATCCCAAATCACATAATGAAGCTACAAAAACTTTCGGAATTCCATTCCGACCCTTGGATCAAAATCTCACCTATCAACCGGAAATCGCTAAAATACTACTTTCGCCAATTCAAGCCTAATTCCACACCGGACCTCCAAAACCAATTCTGATCGCGCTCCTAAGTCATAAATCACATAATGGAGCTAGACAAATCATAAAAATTCCGATCCGGGATCATTTATACATAAGTCAACTCTTGGTCAAGCCTTTCAAATTCAAAGCTTTCAACTGAGACTGTTCTTTCAAATTCATTCCGATTTTTCCTGAAAACCAAAACCAACGATCTACATCAGTCATAATACATAACACGGGGCAAGTCATGCCCGAAAACTAGCGATCAAAGTGTAAAAGCTCAAAATGACCGGTCGGGTCGTTACATTTACTAACTCTTCCCTCGTTGTAGCTATATCCTTATGTGGGGACATTTGGGACCAAAGGGTCCATTAGAGATAGGGATTGGGTGAAGTTAAATCAACCCTTCAACACCCTATCCACGTGGGCATCCTAATGGTTTATCCTAGTCAGCTTTTTATATTCCGGGTTCGTACAGGACATTCGATAAAATTGAAATGATACAAAGAAGATTAACACGGTTTTTTGCACAAAAATAACACGCACAAATCAAGAAATAGTCCGATAAGCCAGTAAGCTTCATACCTTATGAAGATTTTTCTGTGATCTTCAGTGGGGCTTAGCTTCACAGTAGGACCATTAGAATCAGTTTGAATTATTGATCTCTTAATTATTTATAGTTCAAATTGAAGGAGCATGTTTAGTTATTTTCAGTACAACAAAATGCATTTCCCCTTGATAGGAAACAAGGGAGCTGCTTACTATTCTAACCATCATTATATTTGAATTCATCTAATTACTATCATTAAGTTTGTGTCACCTAATTACCATCATATGGAAAATTGTACTATAACTTATAATTAAAAACAATGTGGAAGAAATGGGTTCACCTGTATGATCTTATGTATCCATTCTATTCTATTTAAAAGATATGGTGACGGTAATGGAATCTAAGATGGAGGACTAATTGTTATATCTATAAGAGGATTTAATTAGACGGTGGCGGTAATGGAATTTAGGACGAAGGTCTTATAGTATCTATCTAAACGAAAAAATATTGAACCCATTCCTGGTCTTTCGTTGCACATAGAAGGAAAAAAAGCTTTTTCGATATCCTTCATATTGATGATATTTTTCTTTTGAGAATCGAGTCTTTAAAAGGAGGACGACTCTTTAATAGTATCATATTCGGGAAGGAAAAATTGTTTGTTCGATCTGCCTTGCATTGAACAATGAAAAGTTTAGCCAACCAGAAACTTTACATATACATAAACATCAAAATTATCGGAACAAACGAGACTGTTATAAAAAAGTTTGTCTGTACTCAATTTTAAACGTCTCACCCCATAAAACCATAATAATTCTCAAACTATACAACCGAAAAAAAGAAGTCAAAAACAAAAGGAATAAAAACCAGGAGCTAAACCCACTCAATCCAATATAAAATCAGAGTATAATATTTTAATAGCATTAATTAAGTATGAAATAATATACTAACAAGTAAGCATATGATAGCTTATGATTTGAGAATGACCCGTCAAATGCATTAATTTCCCATCTTCTGTCACATGCCCCTTTCCTATGCCACAGGACAAAATATAACCTTCTATATAAGCCCACTTCTACACCCCTCTCTTCAAACAAATTCAATTCTCTCTTCACAAAATTCTCTATACTCACATACAAAAGTTCAAATTTTACACTTAAAAAACCAAAACTCCAACACCCTTTTCACAAGAAAGCAAAACATCTCTATTTCATTTCAGCCATTTGTCGCTCCGATTCGTTTGGAAAAAAACACCACTTTCACAGTCATTTGTCGCTCTGATTCGTTTTGGAAAAAACACCATTTTTCACAAGAAAGCAAAAATGTTTACCATCTCAGAACGAAATTTCTTTTCGCGAAGATGTGTTTGGGTAAATGGACCTGTTATTGTAGGTGCAGGTCCATCGGGATTAGCTGTAGGCGCTTGTTTAAGAGAACAAGGTGTTCCTTTTGTAATTCTTGAAAGAGCTGATTGTATTGCATCTTTATGGCAAAAAAGAACTTATGATCGTTTAAAACTTCACCTTCCAAAAAAATTCTGTCAACTTCCCAAATTTCCATTTCCAAATCACTATCCTGAGTACCCAACAAAGAGACAATTCATTGATTATCTTGAATCTTATGCCAACCATTTTGACATTAAACCACAGTTTAATGAAACAGTTGAATCAGCTAAATATGATGAAGCTTGTAAAGTTTGGAGGATTAAGACTGTTTCTCCTATTGGCTGTGAAGTTGAGTATATTTGTCAGTGGCTTGTTGTGGCTACCGGTGAAAATGCTGAAAGAGTAGTGCCTGATATTGAAGGATTGAAACATTTTGGAGGTGAAGTAATTCATGCTTGTGATTATAAATCAGGAGAGAAATATCAAGGGAAGAAAGTTGTTGTTATTGGATGTGGCAATTCTGGCATGGAAGTTTCTCTTGATCTTTCTAATCATAATGCTCAACCATCTATGGTGTGCCGTAGCTCGGTAAGCAGCACACAGAGATGAATCCAAAATTTAAATTTCATGGCTTAAAATCTTTAAGTTCTTACGACTGAACCTGTTACTCTTTTGAAATAACAGTTCCGAAATTTTATGTTTTTTGAGATTTTAAAGATTTTCATAGTTATATTTTTTGAAATTGGCACATATTTAAAGAGCAGAATCCATTGACTCTAAATTTTGAGTCTGCCAATGACAATTCTTCACTTTATTTTGAGTAGCAAACCTTTAGGTTTTTACTACTGAACCGTTAGACTTCTAAAATTACGAGTTTAGAATTTAATATCTTTTTAAATTTTTGGCTATTTTTCTAATGTTATTTTGCTCTGTTTTTTCTTGTTCAGGTTCATGTTTTGCCAAGAGAAATCTTTGGGAAATCAACATTTGAGTTGGCTATGTTTATGATGAGTTGGTTGCCACTTTGGCTAGTTGATAAAATTCTACTTATTATTGCATGGTTTATATTGGGAAATATTGAGAATTATGGACTAAAAAGGCCATCAATTGGTCCACTTACACTCAAGAACACACAAGGAAAAACACCTGTTTTGGACATTGGTGCCTTGGAAAAAATTAGATCTGGAAAAATTAAGGTTATCCCAGGAATCAAGAGGTTTTCATGTGGCACTATTGAACTTGTCAATGGTGAAAAATTAGAAGTTGATTCTGTTGTTTTGGCTACTGGTTATTGCAGCAATGTCCCTTTTTGGCTACAGGTGAGAAAATGTCCTAATCCTTCTGGAATCTTTTTTTAATAATGTGGACAGTTTTGGAAGTTTCTTATAATGATTTTTAAGGTACATATACAGACAAGATAAAAAAAAAAAAATTACGCTGTCGGTGCAAGAATAAACACTTTTGCAAAAATAGCCAAAAGAAAGAGGTGGTTATAGAAGGTTCTTGAACAGTGTCCTAATGACTACAGTAAGTTTAAGTTACATATACAGACAAGATAAAGAATTTTTACACTGTTAGTGCAAGAATAAACACTTTTTGCAAAAATAGCCAAAAGAAAGTGGTGGTTATAGAAGGTTCTTGAACAGTGGCCTAATGTTATTTTTGTTATTTTATACAGGAAAGTGAATTTTTTTCCAAGAATGGATTCCCAAAGGCACAAAATAACTGGAAAGGAAAATCTGGGCTATATGCAGTTGGATTTACAAGGAAAGGGCTAGCTGGTGCTTCTGCTGATGCTACAAAAATAGCACAAGATATTGCCAAAGTTTACAAAGATGACCTTAAACAAAAGAAGCAAAAAGTTTCTACACATAGAAGATGCATCTCAACTTTTTAATTCATCTCCAGAGCATATACAAGTTCAGAAATTCCATTCTTCTTCTTTTTTTTAACAGGGGTCATGTATAAAATAAATGTGTAAAAAATATATATAGAGAATATACAAAAGGAAAACAGCAGAAGATAGCTATATACAGAGATAAGCCCTCTCCAAAAATTAGCTCAAGTTTTTGCTAACAGTTTGGGCGTTTTACCTTGAGGATGAAGAGGCATTTCTCTATTCTTTTTTTTTTTCCAAGATTTTTTTTAAAACATTGGTTTTGTTTGTATTGACTTCCCATACAAATTTGTACAATTATTATTGTTTATTTAATAAAATGACAAAGATAGTCCTTTATTGTTTTTTTTTTGGTTCAAAAATAAGCATATATTGCAATTAAGTTAAACGTACAGAGAAGTGATGCATAGACTGCATCCTACTAGAACACACACTATTAGATAATACACAACTGCTAGATAATATATCATTACACAAACCCCTAGTATTACTATTATCATCTACAACTAACTTGCATCATTTGGCAGAAGCGTTAGTCTTTGTTGGAGCAATGTTGGGATTAGACAAAACATGTTCTGGCGCCGTAGTTGTTAGTAACATTATATACTTGTCTTTTTCAAAAACTTGTCTTACAAAACCTGGGATTGTATCAAAAATACACCGAACATAGTTATTTCCAAAGGTGCTTGCTTCCTTAGCTAGTAGATCTGCCAACCTATTTTGTTCTCTGTACGCATGTTGCACTACTGGTTTATCTAACTTGTCCAGGAGGTACCGGCAGTCAATTAATATATTATCAAACAACATATTATTAGATTGAATCATTCTAACAATCTCTTTCGCATCCACTTCCACCTCCAGTGGGTTCAAATTATGTTCATGCGCAAGTGTAAGACCAAGTAGCAGCGCATGTAATTCCGCTGACATGGCTGTATTTTTTGGGATTGAAGCAGCAAATCCCAGCACCCATTCTGCTTTTGAATTTCTAATAAGTCCACCGATACCCGCATTCGTATCCGAGCAAGACCTATCTGTATTAAGTTTATAAAACTTATCTTTTGGAGGAATCCACTTAAGATTAGGCTGTCGTGTTCTAAGACATTTATGACCTTTAGCTGTTAAATAAGTGAACTCAACAGCCTGCTGAGTTGTATGGCCAATGGAAGTCTCTCAGTACTATGATTGTAAATGTTTTTATTACGTGCTAACCATATGTTCCATAGGCTTAGTGGTACAAATGAGCACAAAGTAATGTGATAAGGAAACTTAATGCCCTGACAATTAATTAGTTCATGCAACCAGTTATTTGGATGTGTGGTATTAATAATTCGATCAATATACTGGCTGATGCCCATTTCTTGCCAGTATGCTCTAGCACTGTTGCAGTCCAGAAACAAACGTTTTACTGTTTCATTTTCTTGATGACAATGTTGGCAAGTCGCATCTTGAATTAGATTAATATTTTTAAGGTAATCTTTAGTAGGGAGTCCTTTATGATATAGAAGCCAAATAAAGCCTTTGATTTTGGGTTGTATAGGGAGTTTCCATATCCAAGAGTATTTTATACCTTTATTGTATCTGTACTCTTCATAAAATTGTTTTAAGTTTTTTGCTTAGCTTTCATGACAAATTGAGTACTAATGTGTGTGTGCGCGCACATATATGTATGCCAAAAAATATATATATGTGTACATGTACGATATGATCATACTTATTTTGAACCCACTGAATCTAAATTCAGAGTTCAGTCTCTAAAATAGAACTAAAATAAACTCTTATATGAGAGAATTGTGGGCTCATTGTTAAATGAAAATGAATTTTTTAGTGAGAAAATGACTTCAAATTCACATTTTGTGCATACTTAAAAAAGGAACTGACAGAATACGTAGTACTGGAGAACGAATGTGCTAGTATTTCTCAAGTTCTTTTAAAGTCATATTCAATACGGTTTTGGGGTTCTGATAGCAACCAGTCATCATTTCAACACCCTTAGCGTGTACATTATTGGTTTAGGTACATTAAATAAGTCCCCCAAAAATAAAAATAGAAATAAAAAATAAAAAAGTATTGAGCTCAATTCTAAAGAATAATGTAGACGGGTCCTTACCATCATATTCATTGTGAACGCACTAACTTTATATTATTTGACTCCGAGTATATGGAGCCAAAACTTTGAGATCTTTCACCAAGGCAGATCTAGAATTTCTAAAACATGATTTTATCACTAAGAAAAGGAAAAAAAAAAGTACTAAGTGAAAATTGATCCATATTCCTTTGGATAAACTTAACCTTAAACCAAGTGTCCAATTCAATTTTTTTGAAACATAAGTGCCAGTAGATAATATTAGATCAATTTTAGAAAATATGTACATAAAATACTTATTTTGATGATGAGAACATGAATTAACGGGCACCTTTATTTAGGGCTAAATCCGCCCTTATTCTTTCATAATATCTCACTCATTATTATTATTGCTATTCCTTTACATTCGATTCTGAAATAGAGAGATAATCATTGCTTTCTTTGTGATGATGATTAGATTTTTATTAGAGTTTGACACAGCTCTAATCATAGTAAAAAGGTATCAACTCTCTGTTGTCTAGCACATGGACAGACTCATGCTTTTAATAAATTTTTTACTGTTAAATCTTCTCTGTAAAGCACATTAGGCCTCATTTGTTTTTATTAAGATTAAGACGTCTGAATCTGAATACGCATCTGAATATCAAGATATATATTAAGATTAAGATATTTGAATTTGAATATATAAAGATGTGTATTAAGATTTGAATAGAAATAATTAAGACTTTTTGATTTTTAATATCTGAATGTATAAAATTTATCTTTATTTGAAAATTAATAAACATAAAATTCAAATTACTGACTAATCCAATATTTTATCAATAAAATATATAGTTTTTTAAAATATGATAGTTGGTGGTGGTGATAGCTAGCGGGTGAATGCCGACTAGAGGCGGTGGTTTGTGGTAGTTTTGGTTGATGATGGTTGTTCGTGCTAGTAACTAGTAGTGATTGATAGTGATGGCAATTATGATCGATGATGGTGGTGGTGGGTGGTGATAGTTAATAATGACGGGTGGTGGTGGTAGTTATGACTGAGGAAGGTGGTGAGCGGGTGATGGTAGGTTATAATGATGGACAATCCCGGCTGTGGTTGTTGATGGTGATGGAGTGGTTTGTTGTGGTAGTTGAGGTGGATGAGTGTTGATTATGGGTGAGAATGTTATATGGTGGTCGGAGTGGTGGGGATAGTGGGTGGTGATGGTCGATAATGCTGACGGCTATGATCGAGGATTATGGTGTCATGCTGGTGGTGGAGATGGTGGTGGTGGTGGTGGTTGAGTAGGGTGGTGGGGGTGGTTGAGTAGGGTGGTGGTGGTAGTTGATAATGGTAGGCGGTGGCGACAGTTAATAATGAATATGTGATAGCATCTTAATGAAATTAAGTCTCTGTTATAGATCTTAATCATACAGACCTATTCAGACTCAAAAGTGATTGTGAAGTAAAAAAAATACTTAATAATTAAGATCTGGATAATTAAGATTCAGATTTTAAAAACAAATGCACTTAATGTCTGAGATCTGAATAATTAAGATTCAGACCTCCATTAAATGCAAACAAATGAGGTCTCGCCACATCTATAAAGAAACTAGGAAAAGTTAAAGTAATAAAACGTTTTATCAGTATAGTATTTCCATAATTAAGCTGTCTACTAAATTATTTTTGTGACAAAATATAGTATTACTAACAAACCAAATCAGAATAATATCTCGGTATAGTATTGGCATAAGTTGTCTTGAAACTAAATTTGGTCACAAAATATTGTTCTAAACTTCTAATAAATCTAAGGGTCAGAATAGTCGAAGTAAAACAGAACAATGTCAAATGGCTTCGCCCGGACTCGAACCGGAGACCTTCAGTGTGTTAGACTGACGTGATAACCAACTACACCACGAAACCAGGATGTTAGATCCTGGCACCCTATTTTATAAATCCGTAAACTAAAAAAAATTACGGTTGTGTTTTTTGAATTTATTTTATTAGTTTACCTTCAAGTGATATGTATTTTTATTTTAACTTGTAATTCTTTAGATTTATTGGTCTGATGAAATTATCGGGCGGGGGTAAATATTTTCCATCTCTATTCAGAGGCGGACCTAGGATTTAAAGGTGGCAGTGCACATGAACAAACTGCTCAACTAGTACCCCCATCGGACTTTAATCTTAAGGGTTCCAAATAAAATATATAACCATTTTCAACATATATACACTTATATATTCAGAATTTTTGCAAAGTAAACTGGGTGCGGTTTTCTCCAAGCATAGGTCTGCTGATATCAAATCATGTTATTTCGAGGTAAGATTCAGAGTTTGTTCTAGCTGAAGTTAGCTAGAGATGATCTTTGGGCTATGACGACATTTGTATAAAACCACATAGTATACATTTAGGATTGAAGTTTGTCTTTCTGAAAATTGAAATGAATATAACAGGATAAAAAGCTTCTCTGGAATGGTCCTTTGAAAATGTTTTTCATCCACAGACGAATAACGAGCTATGCTACAATATGTAAGAATGTCAATAACAGCAGAAACGTTGTTATCATTTATCAATAGAAGTTTCTCAGACTCAGTGGTCCATATATGATTGTTACCCTAACAGAAGTTCAAAGAAAAGTTCCTCACTTCAGCACTTAGAGCAAGAAGTTTCTACAACATTTTAGTACTTTAAATTAGTTAGAACAGCGTACGTATAATATAGTTCCAAGTCAGACATGAGTATACACATTCTATTCACATTTAATTCTGTTGGTTGATGAAGTTTTGTGGCGACATGTCAAGACACAGGCCTTCTGCTTTATACCGGATTCATTCGAATCCGGTACTTTTTATGCGTTCGGAGCATAAATTAATGTGTCAAATGCACTACAATTACAATAAATAGTAGGTCTGAACATATATATAATTTTAAAAATACAATAAGATTAATGCTAAAAATCTTAAAAATTGAATGTGCAAAGCTTATCAGCCTCTAATCTGCACTCGTTGTCATATAAGAAAAGCAGGTTTGCAATGTTAGGACGCAATATGCATGACTAAGAAGAATGAAGAAGAAAGTATTGAGGATAAAATGAAATTGGGTCATAAAGTTGAATTGCTGATATAGTCAACTCTTAAACTTCAAATCTTGAATTCGCCATATTGCGAATTCATGTTCTCATCTATTAGGTTTCCTTTTTTTTGTTCCTAAGTCCTAATAAACATTCAACTATGAAGAATTTGGGGGCAAGTGCACAAGTAGTCATTTCTCAGGGAT